CTCTCAAGTCTCCTCTCGAGTCCCCTCTCAAGTCTCCTCTCGAGTTCCCTCTCAAGTTCCCTCTCAAGTCCCCTCTCGAGTTCCCTTCTCAAGTCCCTTGTCTAGTCCCTCCTCGAGTCCCCTCTCTAGTCCCCCCTTGGTTCCCCTCTCGAGTCTCCTCTCGAGTCCCCTCTCGAGTCCCCTCTTGAGTCTCCTCTCGAGTCTCCTCTCTAGTCCCCTCTCGAGTCACGTCTCAAGTCCCTACCCAATGTCCTGGTCCGTTGGAGGTTCCGCTGGGGGTCCTGCCAACTCCATGTCCTGTCCCGTTGGAGGCCCTGCCGACTACTCCTCTGCCGGGGGTCCTGCCAACCCTATATCCTGTGCTGTTGGAGGTCCCGCCAACTACTCTTCTGCCGGGGGTCCTGCCAATCCTATGTCCGTGCCGTTGGAGGTTCCGCTGGGGTCCTGCCAACCCTATATCCTGTCCCGTTGGGGTCCCGCCGACTACTCTTCTGCCGGGGGTCCTGCCAACCCTATGTCCTGTGCTGTTGGAGGTCTCGCCAACAACTCTTCTGCCGGGGGTCCTGCCAACTCCATGTCCTGTGTCGTTGGGGGTTCCGCTGAGAGTCCTGCCAACCCCATGTCCTGTTCCATTGGAGGTCCCGCTGAGAGTCCTGCCAATCCCATGTCTTGTTCCGTTGGAAGTCCCGCCGTCCCCTGTCTCGCCGGGGGTCCTTCCAACTCCTGGTCCTCTTCCGTGGGGGATCTTGCCGAAGCCTGTCCCACTGGCTCTGGTTCCTGTCTGGCCGACACCGGGTCCTGCCCGTGCCTCCGGGAGTTGTCCCGTCGCCGCCTTCTTCGCCCTCGGGCCCGGCCCCCTGAGTGCCGCGGTCTTCGCCTTCGAGCCCGGCCCCCTGAGTGCCGCGGTCTTCGCCCTCGAGCCCGGCCCCCTGACTTTTTCGGCCGCGGCCCTCGGCCTCGGGCCCGGTCCCCTGACTCTTCCAGCCGCTGCCTTCGCCCTCATGCGCGGCCCCCTGAGTTTCTTAGGATTGTGTTCACCTGGTGCCCCTGTGTTTTCTCCTCCCTCCTCACCTGTCTCTTGTTTCCTTGATTAGTCCTGTGTGTATTTAAGTTCTGTTTTTTCTGTCTGTCATTGTTGGTTTGTCTGTGACTGTGTTCACCGGGGAGTGTTCTGTTTGCCCGTGTTATCCTTGAAATAAAGGTATTTTCAGTGTTATCTGCATTTGGGTCCTGCTTGCTTCGCTCCACCGTAACAATTACCCCTTGGTTTCAATTTGGTTCGGCCAAGCAACTATATATGTTCCTTGTTTTGTCATTTTAGGAGGACAGTTTCTTAACCCCTGTTAAGTTGCCATTATATTCCTTAGAGGTATTTTCTGTTGACCTATATATAGGCCTAGATTCTTGACTTATAATGATTGTTTTGGGGAAATAAAAAAAACAAGATTCTTTAAACAACTCCTGTGTCCTGATGCCTTACTGCTCTGTCCCTGACAGCTTATAATACTGCAGTGCCTTCTCACATCCCTACTTAACCCCTTCATCATCGTCCCTCTCCTCCACATATTTCTTATCATTTTACAGCACCTGGGTTGACATCTTGTCCCGTGTGTTTTCTGTGGTCAGCACCGATCCAGCGTCTGAATGCAGCCCACCTCTTCATCCACAGGGTTTTGTGATGTCTGACAGCTTGAACAACGAAGCAAATGTTTGGGGACAGTGGGAAATAGCTTGAGGAGAGAGTAACAGCAGAGGGAAAGAAGAGCAGCGTAAGAGAAACAACAAGACTTGGAACGCATTATTCCTTTGCCAAATGATGTTGCAATGTCGAGAATGTGCTTACATTTCAGAATTGAAACCCCACCTCAATATTAATAAGTAGTTCAACTTCCAGCTTAAATTACCATGTGATTTCAGATGTTTTTTCCTGTGTGGTAGCTTTGCTCTGTTCCTAATTCATGATTTGCTTAATAGAGTATATAAGTATCCCCTGAAAAAACTGGAGAATTCCCCTAATGCAGAAAATTATCTTTTAGTTATTTAACTGAGAAGTTCAAATATTAAATTACATAATCATAAGAGTGCAAACAGATGAATGCCAAATGCTTGAGCTCATAAATCACTCCTACTGCTGTGGGTGTAAGTGTAGGCGTGTGAAACTAAAGTAATTGAAGATGTTGACTAGCAAGATTAATAATATAAAAAAAGATCTTTATTGTTTGTTTATGATGCATTTTATTTTTTTTACACACATACATCTCAGTGAAACATTGACATTTCATTTATGATATTTAAAACATGTTTGACATCTCCATGATGATTAATTAGCATGCAGTTTATTGTCTGTTTACATTCCTTAATTAAGTCATTTCATTAATTGTTTTAATTGAAATGTATTTAATAAGTCCCTGTTTATTTTCATGTACAACGCAATCCATCCGGGTGACCAGGGTTATCTACAATATTGACACATTCCATAAAGTGCCTCAATTCTGAATATTTCATCACTCTCTGTCTTTCACATTCCCTACCCTCTCCCCTCTTTGTTTCCATATACAGGAATGTGGGCGTAACGTCATACTGTCTTCCCAGAAACACCTTTGAAAAGAAGTTATGTCAGGTATTACAGAGGAACACTTGTAAGATGTTTTACAGTAATCACGAACTGAACACATAAAGCCATAGTGACTTGAACGTTTATTAATGGTAAGCAAAAGGAATTTATGATAAATCCTGCCTTTTATTCATCAGAAGTCATGCTTTATTTCTTAAGTATATGATTTGATGCCTTGTCGTAAAGTTACATTAATAATGAGTAGTTTTACTTTCACTGCTTATGAGATGGCCACAGCCACACAGGGTGAAAATAATTACACTGCACCCTCACCTCCAGTAGTTTTACTTAATTTCAGTAGCAGTATAACATGCCAACAATTAACACCACACATTTGATTTAAATGGTTATGTCTTTATTTGCTTGTAACCTGACATCATTTAGTTGATTCTCACACATTCTAACATAGCAAGCACAAGTTTTTCTTTGTATGATAATGACTTTCTTTGTCTTTGAGTTACTGTGGTCTTCAGGGGAGGTTACTTACTGGTTCAGTAAAAGGCGTGGCTGAGAGCTGAGGATGGATACAAACTGCACAAACCCAATTGGGACGAACCACATGATTCCATGTCAAAAGTTTTTTTGGGGGTTTTGTCACTGTACTTTTCTATTCTGATAAATCTTAATTACGCCTTGGTTTCAATTTGGTTCGGCCAAGCAATTACATATGTTACCAAGATTATTTAAACAACTCCTGGAGGAGAGAGTAACAGCGTAAGAGTAACAACAAGTCTCTGAACACATTATTCCTTTGCCCAATGATGTTGCAATGTCGAGAATGTGCGGCATGATCTTACACTTCAGAATTGAAACCCCACCCCAATATTAATTGTTTCCATATACAGAAATGTGGGCGTGCCGTCATTCTTTCTTCCCAGAAACACCTTTTATTGGAGAAAATAAGTTATGTCAGGTATTACAGAGGAAAACTTGTAAGATAAAACAACTTGGGTTATCTGTTTAGTTTGCATTTGGTGAGGAGTTTATAGAGGACATATTATGCTCATATTTTGCCTCTACTATGACATGTTTAAATGTTTTAATGTTCAAAAGGGTATTTATTTTTCTCATACTGCCTGTGCTGCAGCACCTCTTTTCAGCCACTGTCTGAAACCAGAGCCCAGTCTGCTCTGATTGGTTAGCTGGCCGGCGCTGTTGTGATTGGTCAATCACAAGCCTCTTACATACAATGTGTTGGAACGCTAGCCAATTGAAGCACTACATACGTGGTGATGTCCGTATGTATCGGAATGAAAAACAAAGAAGTCCAATGGAGGTATTTCAGTCAGGGGGGGGAGAGTGTGGGAGAGAAACTCACTCTGGAGGGAACTTTAGGATTTTAGCCTTTGCAGACCATTTACATGCGCAAAAACCTATATAACACAATACAGGGAAGGGAAAACCTAAAAAAGCACAATAGGGCCCCTTTAAAGGTTGCTACAGTAAACTACATGTTTAGTGCGTGCATGTGTTTCTAGATTTTGTGTGTACAAGGGTTGCACTGGTCTGACCTGCTGGGCGGTCCTCGTACGGGTCGAACTGTGTGTTATGAATGATTGGACATGGCCTCTCATCCTTCAGCTCTGGTACGCTGCCAGGTAAATCCTCCAGTACGTGAGAAGCTGAGACAGGAGCCCGTCCAGGCCGCGAGGACAACTCCAGGTCCTCGGGGCAGGTAGACCTGTTAGTTGTCTCCCAGGCGCCTGAGGAAAAAATGCAAAAAAACAGCCAGACACTGATTCAAAAAATAAAGACCAACTGTCGATGCATGGAGTTAGATATGGATTGATGTAGATATAGATTACTTTTATGACTATCAAGAGAAAATGATCAAATAAGCTACGTACATACATCTTACAAATAATGAAAACATCTGGATAAAAGATGGTGGACCAAATGACAACATGAAGCAGCACGCATAAGGCCAGTGTGAAAATATCTCAAAAATAACTCTATTTCTGCAACATCAGAAATGGAGAAGACAGCTGTTGAGCTGCTAACAGTAAATGTGATTGTACATGATGCAGTTCTGTTGACATGTTTGCTTAAACTTCTGGTTCTACTAGATTCTTCATGTCCATATCTGCAAACAGACCCTGCTAGGAACACTGTGTGTTTGTTTTGATAAACGTATTGCTCCGCTGCTTCGAAGGCAGTTCAGCAGCTGAAATATTTAAACGTTGTCTCACTGCACGACATACAACAATCATAACAGGTTTTTCTGCAACACATAAACTGATACAGAGAAGAACACAATAATATCTTCACCACCATGCAGATGTATAGGTCCCTTCAAATGCAGTTCTTTTTTTCTTGTTTATTGTAAACTCACGTTGTTTGCCTGCGGGGGCCACAGCGTGATGTCTCCCTACTTTCTTTCCCAGGAAGGTCAGTGAGTAAGATCCACTCTCAGCTCCAGAGGAATTCATATACATCGTTTATATACGGAGTGTTTCCTGTCCTATACTGTTCCTGTGTTTGTAGGTGAGAAAATCTGCAGAAAAGACACAAAAAGACTAAAGGTGAAACGCTCAAGTGCATATTCAATATACCCAAATGTTTAACCGCCATTATGAACTGTTGTTCAACTCTCAAACCATTTGCAGATGTCAATAAACGTGCACAGCAGATTCACTCTGTAGTGTTATCCTGTCCAAGCCTCTTCAAGCTACAATAAGCTACAAGCTTCTCTACAGAAAAGTTGGAAAATCCAAGAGTTTGAGCTAATGCCAATTTCCCATGATTTCACGGTGCCATAAAAGAAAACATCTTACATCCAACTTGGCACTAAACAAAGAGATTTAACAACTGAAATGTGTGTGACAAAATGACCTGCATTAACGTGAAACTGATACAAATACAACAAAGTAGTTAACACTTGAAAAGAGAGCTTAAGACTGGATAAACTGATATAAAACAATAGAGGATAGTTGATGATATAAAGAGTACCTGATCTTAGAGCAGGTGAAATCCTCTCAGTGTGATTCAGTGCAGTTTGAGTGCTGTTATGCTGACCAGGACGTGTTGGTCCTGATATCTAAGGGGAACCGAACTCTCAACAGTCTTTAAATATTAAACCTGTAGATGGAGTTTCACCAGCTACTGGCTTAAACCCCACAGAGCCTGTTGGTAAAAAGATGCCACAAACACTCCTCAGGTTTCCAGTGTGTAAGATACAGATTGTAACTGGATGCTGTCTCACAGACACACATATAGTTCATACACACTATCTTTACTCCATCTCTGTTGTATTTGTTTATTTTTCTGTAGACCTCACATTTTACCCGATCAAGGAAAAAAGACTGAAAAAATGATGATGTGGGAGAATGATCAGGTTTGTTGTGATGAAGAGAACATCAGACATTACAGAACAGATAGTAATTGAATCCAAAATAGATATAGTTGAGTGTATTTTCTTCGTGCCACTTAGTACTTATACTCCTCTTCTTCTGCTACATTTCAGGGGTGGGGAAAATTGTGCTTTTAGATCCATTGTGTTACTTACCCTTTCATGCATGAATTATGAAAGCCTCACTCAGGATTTCTTTTACCAAGTGTTGTTATTGCTCTTGGGGCATGAAAAACAAGATTTTAGTTTATTTTTCTCTAGTTTTTTCAAATTTAGAAAAAAAACGTTTTACATGTCCACTTACAGGTGGAACGTAGGCTATGCGTTAAAATCTGAACTGAAAACATGTATATTTGGAAAAATGATAAATAAAGATGTGCAAACTTCAAATTACATTATAATAACATAAGTATATTGATTTAAGGCCCAAAAAGATATAGCAAATGAAGCATTTTCAAGAAGAACAGTAGCAGTAACAGTATGAATTGTGATGCATGATGACTTCCACTTTAGTGGACAGGCGAATAATCATAATTTCTTGCAAACATATGTTGTCCAGGTTGTTGTCACCAACATTGTTATACCTGCAGGGGGCGCTTTCCATAAAAGGATTGGCAAGATATCGACGAGTGATTCGGTCCATCTGGGTTTTTGTCATCCATCTTGGTTTAGAGAAATGTATCATGCACTTACACTGACTTTACACTGAGTGGCAGTGTATGGGAAGATACAATAGGGTCCTATGTAGTGGCTGATGGTGCAACTATGCCATCAAAACCCATGAATATACAAGAAAACACCTTTTGAAAAGCTGCCCACTGTAGTAGCCTCTATGCGTGAAAGGGTTAACAGCAGTAGTTGCCCATTCAGATTTGACAAAACACACATGATGAGCTTTTGAAACCCAAGGTATTGTTTCATAACAACTTTCTCTGATTGTTTAATTTAAATAATTAGCCAAAAACAAAAGGAGTTGTGCATCATACATTAAGTTGTATCTCCTTTATTAATCATCTCACAACCAGGTGGAAAAAATACTTTTATTTTAAATATTTTAAGTAAAGATATTAAATAATAATTGTATTGCCATTTCTATCGCTGATTAAAGGTTTGTGTGCCATCTTGTCTGGTGGCTTTAGGCCAAGCATTTCTATCCGGATGTCTTTTCTTTTGTTTTGCATTCTTTGGCAGTTCCACCTAAGAGTGACTTCTCGTCTAAACTTTTATTTTGGTTTAATTTAAATAATTGTTGCCCAAATAGGTCAAATGAACCGACGTATACAAACAAATTAAAAATCCCAAAACGTAGAAAAAGCATTAGACTGGATGGACTTATCTGTGGAGGGTACGACGCCTTCTTCTTAAACCATGGCCTCTGTTGCAGATGTTAAGTTTTGGTACAATTTTACCCTCTTGTCTTGTTGCTTTTGGCCAAACCTTTCAAAAAGGATTTCCTCTCTTTTAAAGACCAGATGACACATTTAAAACCTTTGGCGGATCCACCAAAAGAGTGATATCCCCTCTGAAAAGATAATAATAATAATAATAATAATAATAATAATAATAATAATAATAATAATAATCTCTTCAAGATGACATTAATGAAAATCGGCTTTACCCCATCCTTCTTTATTCACTATCCAAACCCTGCCCTGACCATATTTCAATGTGTGTGGCATTTACCCATATATTGCAATTGCATCAAAATAAAAGTAGTTTAATTCAACACAACTATAGGCTACAGATTGCAACAGCAACAGAATGTCATTCAGCACATATAGAGTACAAGTTTTTAAAGATGTCGTTTAGGGCCTGTGAGGTCTTGATTGTTAAAACACTCCCTTATGGTGAAATCAGAAAGTATGACTGCATGCTTTAACTGATGCAGTCATCATCAGTCAGTCAAATGTGTCATTATCCTGGCTTCTGCTGAGGCATGTAGCCCACAGGTATCAGGACTGGCTGTACTGCCATGGCAACATGTCACACCTTAAAGAAACTCTTTACCTCATCGCACTGAATTCGGTAGGCTCTGTGCTCTTTTCCGCAGGTATACTGTCATGCTGAGGTGTGAATGAACACAGATCAGGGGTTTCACATATTGATGAGGGGTTTCGGTTCATCTGATGAGGTTAAAGAAGCCTCCCAATGACAATATCTGCAAAAGGAGAGAGAACAGGAAGAATGCCATTCTCTATGGCAAAAAACAGCAACAACATCAAACTTTTAAATATAATTGGGACAGATAGATTCCAGCAGTGAAGAAATTAAATGTAAACGCTGGAATAGATGAACAACTCTGCATAGGTGTCCAAGTAATGCCATGAACACCACACAAATAAAGTGTTTCTTTATACAAGTATGTAGACATTACAATCGCATACAAATGTACAATTAAAAAAAGAAACAACATCACAGTGCACATCTGAAAAATATGGAGCTTCGAAATGATTATAATTAAACACTTTATTATTGCTTTAAAATCTCCACTATAAGTGCGAACGTATAAAAGTATAACACAGTAAGTCATCATGAACACAAGCCAAGTACCAGATGTATCCCGAGTATTAGTGATTTTACACGAGATCCCCATTTTTATGAAAGATTACGGTCGGAATGTTGATCATATGTTTTCAAGTAAGAAGCGTGACTGTTTTTTTTTAATCTACAGTAGCCTACTAGAAACTGTTCCTAGTTTTTTAAGCACGGCGTTTCGCATTGGACGGAGCTCCGTTACGTTCCTGCTGCTGTGGCAGACAGCAGTTCAACCCAATCATGGCAGCTGTGGAGGGAGGATGGGTTGGACCCGTTACTAGGTGGGGTCTATCATTCATGAGTATATATACACTCTCTCTGCCACTTCAACTCCACTGGAATCTCAGTGAGACAAACTTCTTCCGTCCAAACCCACACGGTAAGACAATTTCCTTTAATGTTTGAAATCTGAAATCTGTTCTCCAGCAATTAGTTTGAGAGATTGCGGAAGTTGATGCCTGTAAATTCCCCTTCAAAGTATTGATGCAATCATAAGGGTGTGGTTGTGGAAACAGTAGCGATATCTTTGAAGCAAAAAGTGTTTAGCTGATTTGAATATCAAGCAAAGTTATCAATAAGTATAAATATTAAAGCATACCAAAGGAGACCGGATCTCTATCCTACAATATAATGTTAACCACTAGCAGTGTTGAGCGTGGGTGTGGCCAGGCAGTCTCCACATGCTTGCCATTGTGGAAAACCACGTAACATAAACCTACAGTAAATATGCAGAGGCTTGTGCTCTCTCTCAGTTGTGGATGAAGGAAAAACAAACGTGTTCCTTCTATCTTGTGCTAACAAGATCAACACGTTCACTAGATAAGATCTTTACGCCTATTTGAACCACAAGGAGTCATTTCCACTTTGAATACTATCTACTATATCTTGTGGACTTTGTTTGATCACATCTTCTCTTCTGCCCCTACAGTCAGAGTCCAGCAGCCCCACCATGTCTTTCATCCAAGCCTTCATGCAGCAGACGGTCTATATGGGCATGCCCGATGAGTCAGTACGTAACTTTGTGGTTCTGTTCCAATTACTCAGGCCAACGGCCCTGTTTTTTCTTTTTTTTTCTCTCTTCCTGTGGTATGTTAGGGTGGAAAATTTTTGATCTGGCAGAGTTGAGCAACGGAAAGCGAGAAGTGAAGTGAGAGAGAAGAATGAACGAGTGGGATGTTTAAGAGGAAGGAAAAAGGAGTGGAGCAGAAAGATAAGGGGATGATGTTATTAAAGTCTGGACAATAGAGATTATGATGAGAAAAATACTATACTAGATCTCGAGTGTGTGACTCATAGTGGGAGGAATATGAGCCCCTCCCTTTATAAACTCTGCAAACAGAACAAAATGCTACTTCTGCTTCCTCTGGTTTCTTAAAGTGAACTTCAGGAAAGTTGCACAAGTTTATCCCACATGATTTAACTCTCCTGTTATACAGCTCAACGGAGATGTGTAAAGTCATTTTGAAGTGCATTGTCATGGTCTTTCAAGACATAAAAGTGAAAGGGTAGAGAAAGCTGTGATTTTACCTTTTCTTTAAACACTTTTGCACT